GGTTAAACAGCGTTGGAAAATAGATTAGGAGGAGAAAGGCGCCGAGTATTAAAGGGTAAGGATATAATCTCGTCGGGGATTAAAAGAAGGGAAGGGAGGGGAAGCGCGATAAAAGTTGCAAATCAAATTCTTCCTCCAGGAATAATTATCGGATACGAGTGGATTTTCCGAGTTTGTCGCGTGCCGTATGGACGCGGCGCTATCGCTTCTCGTTCCATTCCCTGTTATATTGTCCGCCTTCTATTATAAAAGTCGTTCCGCGGGACACTCTTGCTCGTCCATTGTACCGGGGCATTTCAATTTTCAGCCAAGATGCAAATTCCTTGTCTGCGCGAATTTCGCGGAACGAGCCGTCGAGACGGCGGCGGCGGCGTCGACACGCCTCAGGGGCTAATGTGTAGGTGCGGGGAATAGGTCTATCGCAGCAGCCCCCGTTTCGTTTCAATTCATTAGGGGAACCGTAAAATTCTAATTCCCTGCCCGCCTACCTCGCTCGCTCGTCGACACCGTTTCGGTTCCGCGGCGATCACCACCCCTCCTCGAGTCGTCGCCCCGCAAACTTTCCTCCCCGATCTCTTGGAATCTTGTTAAGATAATTGGACGAGTGTCGCTCGATGATAATTTACTCTTTCTTCCCCGATTTCGCTCGTCCAACTGGACACTTGCGACTCGAAGAACTTGCGTTCCTTTCTTGCGTTACTGAGTGAGGATACTAAATATCGAAGATGGAGTGGAATAGGGCGAATAATCGGGATGGAAGGAATGGAAAACTTTTTCCTCGGCGAATACGCACGGACGAATTATATTCCGTCCTCGGTTTACCCTGGAGTTTTGGGGGAACGAAGTGGACTCGAGGAGTGGTCTCTCGAGGGGTATAGGCAGACATAGGCGTCGGCGGTTGTCCATTGAAAGGGAGAGAGCAACAGAGATGGGACAATGACGTGGAAGAGAGGGAGAGAGAGATCTGGTTGTATCGATCGGCGTCATAAAATCCATTTTATGACTTGGACGCTGTCCAGTGACTGGTGTATTAGCCGTCGCATTGCCTCGCAAATAAAACGCTCTTCCACTCTTGAACCCCCTTTAACCACCTCGCCTCACCCTTGTCGGACGGTCGTCAGACGCCATCAACTTTCGTTTGTGTTTCGCGTCTCTTCCTATCGCTTCCCTTTTCCTCTATTTTCGTGCTCGATACGCATCGGTTGAGTTCACACACGCCTACCTTTTCTCTCCCTCCCTCTCGATATTACGCGTTGGACGGAATTAGTGTAATGCGCGCGGGTACAAGAAAAAGGAGAAAGCGTTGCGAGATTTTCGATTTTCGAGGGTATCGATTATCGCAAAGGACGTATTTACTTTTTACCCGGATCGATCGACAGGGAGGCGGCGACGTTTTTACGACGATACGTTGGAAAAAGGCGTCAAATGTCTAGACGGGAGGAAAATCGGGGAGAATTTGATTCTCGCGTCGAATCGTACGATATTTCGATGCACGATTTCCTCGGCGGAACAACGATCGCGAATCACCGTCGTGCACACTCTTGGTCGGAGTAGTCGTCCTACGAATTGCTCTCCTCCCGCGTCGAGGACCAGGAATATCGCTCCTACCGCTGGATAATTAGTCCCAATTGAATTAATTAGATTCGCGCAACGAAAATTAAGTAGAGTTGCAACATGTAGGGCGTAACGTAGGACGATGCTCTTTGCCATTAGGATATATGCAATAAATGGAAACGAAGCAACAAGATCGCTGTTTCTCCGTTAATAAGTCTTATTTCTGGGAAGAGATGCCATTTCCACGAAGCGGAAACGTTAATAAAAACGTTATTCTCGAATATACCTTAACGAAGGTATGTCTCCTTGGCGTGTTGCGGAATATCCGACTTTTCTGACGTCGAAAGATAATACTCCCTCTTCGTGCTCGTTTTAATGTCTCGTTACGAGTGTCTCGAATAACTCGACGGGAATGTGTTTTTTAAAAATGGCGCGGCGCGCGAGAAGGTTGGTAACGATTTCCCTCGATTCCCTTCCTCGCGCGGTAACCGAAATCAAGGACAGTCGTGATCGATGAGTCGATCTTTTCCAGCGATAAACATCGGCGAGGGGGGGGGGGGGGGGTTGAAATTCAGAACGCGATCGCGAGTAATTTCTACTCGGTGAAATTCCGGGGAACGTTCGAACGTGCGTGAATAAAGAATCGCGTACGAATTTGAAGCAGCACGCAAGCTTTCTTTTCCCTTTCGCCAATATCGATCCGGGTGTACAGATAATAGGATCGAAGGGAAACGATTAGAGAATTTCTTTTTTTTTTTTAAGTAAGAATGAAATTCAAAAGTACTTTCCAGACTTTATTTTAATTTTAATCGATTATTTCAAGTTTAACGACATCTTTATTAGACGAACGTCCCCATTGGACGATCGAAATGTTGTTCCGAATACGAAGAGAAACGGAAAGTAGGAATAAATCTGTTTGCTCGCTTAATAATCTCAAGTTCGACCGTCGTCACGCCAACGAGCGAGAATTCTTAATAACCTCTCTTTTCAGCATTCTAATATAGTTTTCGCTTGAACCCGATTCTTCGGGCAGGATCTGGCAAGAGTGGAAGTTGGCACTTGTATCCCCGGGGCTTTCGAATCCAAATGTATTCGAAGGAAGCCAAAAAAGTAGTGCCAAATAGACGAATACACCGCGATATGAAAATTAAGGGAATATAAAGTGTGTCATCGAAACGGGGCCGATTTTTCCTCCGCCCCGCCCTCCCCCTCGCTCCGAATTCCAAATTAGCCGCGCGTTTACGAATCAATCGGAACGCTTTTCCCCGTCCGTTCGAAAAAGCTCGTTCGTCAAAAGAAGAAGGAGAGAAAGCGATAAATGTAAATTTACTGGACGGAATTCGTATATAATTCGTATATATGGCTGGCGGGGTTATCCGTAGATTCGATTCGAGGCGAAAGACGAGGAAGCTAGGGAGAAGGAAAGGCCGCCCCTCGTTCTTGATACGCGACGGAAGCTAATTCGGCTGGAAGCCCCGCAGGGCTCGCGAACTTTTCTATTCCCGGTGGATATTAGCCGCGGAGAGAATAAGGGCGCGGCGCGACCTGTCCCAATGCAATTAAGATAAGCACCGGCCGATGTTTATAAATATTTCGCTCTATTCCCATTTGCCGGCAGCGGGGTGGGAATGTATCCGACAGCGAAATACTTGGCGTGACCGGCCGCAGGCGACGACCCCTCGCAAACTTTTCCATTCTTCTTTAACGCGCCCCCTTTCTACCCCGGGTTAGATTCGGCTTAGATTGGACGGTGAACGTACGTCGCTGGTGGACGAACCGAGGGGAATCCGTTGAAAAATTGGAGGAGGGTGTACATCCTCGTCCCTCTCTCTCTCTCTCTCTCTCGTTTTCTGGCCCGCGACGAGGTAATTCTCCGTCCGAGCAAGCGTTACTCCACCCGCTGTCGCGTGAAAATTGCATCCTCCGGAAGTGTGGTAGGATCGATCGGAATTTCGCATGCTTCGAATCGAGAGCTTGTTTCGTTTACTCGAAAGAAACATAAAATGCCGATAAACAGGGGAGGGGAAAGATTTCGAAGCTTAACTCGCGGTGATCTCGTTTACGTCGGCCACGAAATATTGGGACACCGATGCGAGATTCCATCTTTACGCTCCGCCTTTTAATGAGGAAAAATATATACTTTCGATCGCGTTACGATCGGAATATTAAATCATCAAATAAAATTCCAAGATTAATTTATTTTATAATTTCAGTAATTTCAGGAGTATTTTTATTTTTAATAATTATTATATATTTTAGATCAATTAATTCAATAAAAAATTATGAATTTAATTTTTTAATTCAAATAATATTTTTTTTTAAAATTGGAATTTTTCCATTTCATTATTGAATAATTTTCTCTTATGAAATAATAAATTGAAGACAAATTTTTTTAATTAAATTTATTCCAATCTATATACTTATTATTATATCTTATATTAACTATTGATCAATTATTTATTTACTAATAAGAAATTTTATCATTTCAATATATACAAATAAATTTTATTCATTAAAAAAAATATTAGGATGTTCAACAATTTTTAATTCAATATATTTTATTTTACTATTAAGAATAAATAAATTATTATTTTTAATTTTTATTATTATTTATACAATTAATTATTATTTATTAATTAATTTCTTTAAAAAAATTTTTATTAATAATAATAATTTTATATTCATTAATAAATTTCAATATTATTCATTTTTAATTTTAATGTTCAATTATTCAATATATCCAATTTTTTTAACATTTATTTAGAAACGGTGGAGAGAATAATCGGTGTAGGTTGGGGAAGTAGGTTGGGGAGAAGAACTCGTGATTATCCGGGAGAAGCAATAGTTAATGGATTCCGTGGCCGGTGGTGATTATAGACGGATGAAGGGTATCGGGCAGCCGCGATAATGTCGCGTCGTAAATAGTAAGCGATCTTAGACCGAGTTCCGTCCACGAGTGTTGCGCCGCGCGTGCTCGCTTACATCCATCTCGGTGTGTTGAGATAGTCAAATGACGATCAGATAGGGAGAACAGGCCCTTTGAATAAATCCTGGGGCCGATAGGAAGGCGGTTCCAGGAGGTTTGCTCGACAGTGCGATAGCCGATAATGGTCTGGTTCAGCCACCGTCCAATTCTAGGGTTAATTACCATCGTTTTAACCCGCTATACTCGGTTCTTAAACCGGTGGTCCCGGTCGTTTTGGAAAATTAATTTTACGACGCCCGATACTCGCGTTGCTTCGATTTCCAAGCCGGGCCACGAACTCGATTAACTCGTCCACTGCGAAAATTCCAATTCCCCCCCCCTTCTGATCGAGTTGATCCCCGATTAAAAAGGGAGTTACGTCGATTTCGCGCGATCGATAGAAAGGAACGAAACGATTTCTCGATCTTGCGTAATCTCGTTTTTGATTAATCGTTTTTCCGTTTTTCCTACCATGTTTCAGGCTGTGCATTTCTCACCTACTATAGTCGTGACAGCGCAATCAGTGCCCAGAACGCTCTGCATGAGAAGCGGACTTTACCAGGGGTAAGTATTTACGCATTTAGAAAACAATTTATCTACTTTCGGGCTTCTTCCACTCTCCGTGAAACGACTCGTTTTACCCGCTGTTTTACATCACGCTGTCGCTATCTTTTCCAAATCCCCTCCACGCGAATTCGAAAATACGAATATAAAATAAAATGTTTACAGGAGATGAATACAAATACGAATTCTAAATATACCGAACGTAATTTCTCTCGAATGAATTTTGAATATCGCTTTCACTTTTAATTTTTCTTTCTCTCTAGAGTGCTAAGATTGCTAAAGATTACGGATTCGTCGTCCGTTTTAATACTTGTCCCTTCGTGCCCCTCTCGTGGAAGATGCAGAGTTCATCGAGTAGCCATCGAACGCGCGAGAGAATGAACCGTGCCGTAATTCCAGTACAGTTCTATACGAAAAACGAGAAGGGAAAGTGGAGCAAGGAAATTGTGCAGTGACGTTAACGGATACTTATCGCTGGCGAGGCCGTATGGCGCAAATTCTGGCGATTTACCCCGCGATCCGGAATATTAAAATGGGCCGGCGTGACAAGTTAATCTCTTAACGCCGAAAGGGTAGTTAGGAGGGGAACGACGGAGGGTCGAATGGCGAGAGTCGAAAGGAGTGCAGGGAGCAGAGGGCGCGACTCGTGCAGTCCGCGATGTATCATCCGACTTTCCGTGCCTTCTACGAGTGCCAGGAATGGCCATGATGCTTCACGATCCCTTACGCGCAATCCTAAGTAATTTCTAATCATTTTCCCTCCCGTTTCCCTTTTTTCATACGCGTGGAAAAGAGAATGATAAACCGTAGGGGGGATTTTTTTTTTTGAAAAATTGGACGATTATGCGAGATAAAAGTAAAATTTTCCTTCCGATTAATTGCACGGTCAGCTGTTTCGATTTCTGGCGAAGGTACTCTACGAACGAAATCGTCCGATTCGCGTAGTTGTCTAGTAAAAATTTGCATCGATCGTAGCCGTGGGGACTGAAGAGTACAAGTGCCGGCACTGAACACTGCTTAACTGCCAGAGCAGTGCCAACACGCCCCTTCCCATTATCCAACCTACCCCTTGGAAGTCCGTAGCGAGTACTGGCGTTATGTTTCGTTAATCTATCCCCGAAACAACGCAGCTCCGGTCTTGGCACCGCTGCCAGCGGAAATCGTTTTAAATGTTATGCCGAGAGATGTGCCGGGGGTTTGGCTGAGTTATGACTTTATGAAGAGGCAGACGCGTACACGGACGCACTTTTGCGCTCCATACGCCCGTGCGCGCGTTCACCGAGCTGACCAAACACGAAAGAAAAATCCTCTTCAATTGCTTCGACCGTTCCCATCGACGCGCACCGTTTCCACATTTTTCACATTTTTATGGCCATCCCCGTAACCGAAATCTTCTTCCATAAACGATCCGTATTACGTTTTTAAAAAAACGTAAAAAAAAAAAAAGAAAAAAAAAAAATCTCGCTTGATTCGTTGGATGGGATTTTTTGCGACAAAAATTATTCCAATATCGACATCGTATTATTTCGTTGTGCACGGGATTATATTATTTGAAATTTCGTATAAATCTTTTCATGGATCGATGGCAATTGTTCACGGCCGGAAATGAAAGGGGGAATTCGGTGAAGAAGAAAGGTGGACAATGGGTCGATTCGCATTTAGGATATTGAACATTTGCCGATCGACCGAGCCGAGTTGTAATATTCGAACGCACCTGAGACCATAACTCGAGCAAGCAGCGAACCCTTGATAAACAGGGATCGCAAGCTGAACGCTCCCGCTGTGCAAGCAATAACAATGCCCGTGGCTAACCGGCTATACTTAGCCCGTGCTTACTGCGGAAGCGATCGTTGCACGTGCGCACGCGCTTGTTCACGCTCACGCGAAAAGAAGAGAGAAGAAAGTATTTCGTATCCCGCTTCCGCCCGTGTTATCGCGATACTTGTAACGCCGCGGCAGACTCACGGCGGCGTCTTTGACGAATTCGATTACGTGGAAAAAGCATTTTTCTCGAGAAACTTGATCTTGAAACGCGGTGCCGCGAAACTTTGCCTCTACGATTAACGATTCTCTGGATCATCGTTTTTCCAAACTTTGCGTCGCGCGCGCGTTGAAACGCGAACGAGATTAAATTTCGCTGAAAATTAGAGTGGAAAGTACGGAACCGTGTTGTAGATTCTGTGTCGGCTCGAATAAAAGACGCGCTATTCTTTCCATTTGCTAAATGGAGAATGGGCATTAGGTTATTAACGAAAAGAAAAGAATTTGGTCTTGGTTATTTTTAAATCAAAGATTCGATATATATATATATATTTCTTTAATATTATTTTACATTATATAATATATATATATATATAATTTTATACAGAAATGTCGGAACGTTCGCGATAAAGCCTTCCAGATTTAATTCCTGTTTATTTGCTTTGCTCGTAAGCTCGGCCTCCGTCTTGGCTGCAATGTTGGTCTAGCCGACCCCAACATTAACAGATCACCAGATGTTACTGGTGTTCACTGGTATTTTGCCGGCGACAGAAAAATTCCCATGGTGAATTCGATCGGAAATACAACTCTCTTTATTTCGTTAGAGAATTGACGATATCGATCGCTTTGGAACGAACGCAAATATATATACATACAAATTTAAATGGAAAAAGATTCAATTAATTCAAAAATCCTTTAATTTCGAATTCTAAGAATCACGAAACACGCATCCTCGAGGTAACGGTTTCCTAGGAAATGCACTAATCAACGTCGAAATTGAGGATCGGGGTTAAGTAGCGAACAGGTTAGGGCGACGCGATAAGGTACGATGAAATTCAGAAGGACGGATTGACAAATTGGCGTCCAGATTTACGAGGGTGTAATTGCTCTATGGGGTTTGCCCGGCTCGAAGGAGAAGAAACGACGGCGGTCGAGGGAGGGGGGCGCGAATTTCCACGAGGAAAACGATACTCGCGCGTACAAAGGCGGGGAGTAAAAAATGGGAAGGAGGGAGGGAAAGAGGCGAGCGACTCGGACCGGGCATTGTTTGCATTCCTCCCTAACCAAGTTTTTGCAACTTTTGCGTGCACCTGTGCCGCCCTTCCCCTCCCAGTCCAATGAAATTTCCGCGATTTCCACGCTTCTCTTCTACTCGTAATTCATTAAGCGCCGCGTAATTTTTCAGTTCGATGGCATTTATCCTCGGCCGCAACACAGTAGTCCACGTCTCTCTTATCCCTTCCCAACGATACTACTCGAAAACTATTAGGGCGGATGCTCAATAAGCAACAGCTGGAACAAAATTACAATCGACCTATCGTTTCTTACTCGGTTTTCACCCGTTCGATTCCGTCTTTCGCAACCATTTTACGACGCTCCTCGTTGCAGATCGGTTGTATTATATAATTATTATGTAACGATTATGGGAGGAGGCGTCGGCTATCAAACAATTACGGGAAACTTTCCGTGGTTGCGCCTCGCGACGAGGGGTCGTTTTCGCGAGGTAGAGACGCGAGGACGCGGAAGAAGAAGAAGAAGAAGAAGAAGAAGAAGAAGAGGAAGAAGGAGAAGAAGAGGAAGAAGAAGAGGAAGGTGGAGGAGAAGGTTAAGGAGGGATAGAATGGAAATGGTAGGGGACTAGAAGCGAAGGAGGGAGTCACTCCGGAGGAAGCAAGCCGAGTGGCGACGCCTCAGTGACCGAGCTTACTCTCCCTCGTGCTTTCGTTCGCAAGCGCGGGCTTGCGAGTCCTCGTTTTCTCTCTGTATACGTGTGCACGTATACGTCTCTCTTTTATCCGCCGTCTGCGCATAAAGCCGCCCATTTCTACCCTCGTGGGTGCCTCGTGGACCCTTGCCTCCAACTTGCGCGATACGGCCCTGAGAATAAGCCAGTCGCAGTTATACGCGCCCTTTCCTTCTTTCTTTCGCTCTCGCCGGAGTCGGTGCGCGAATCAATCCTGGCGAAATTCGTCGTGTCGTGAAATTAAGAGTGTTTCTCGCGTGATTGGTGCGCGAACGAACGTCCAGTGCCGTGTGAATCGTCACGTCGATTCCTTTTTACCCGTGGAGCGTCGGAATGTGGATCCCTCGATTCTTCTTTCCGTGGATAAAATCGCCAAGTGTTTGTGAATTATTATAAAGTGAACCCGTATATGTGTACGTATAATATATATATATATGTAGTGATTCTGCGCAATAGGTTCCAAGTAACACGCCGGTATTTCAAATATTTTGTCTTATAGTTTCGAGGCACGCGCGCCACTTTTGCATCTCGCCATTGTTGCGACGATCCGACGTCATTTATCAAGTGTTATCGTGCCTGTTGCTCTCCACTCGCACTCCACGACGCTGATAATTTGGTCTCACGTACGCGCCACCATGGTCGATTTTATGAGTTATCCGGAGATTTCCTACCTCTACGACGAATTCACCATGGTAGGCAGATTACATACTTTATTATTTCTTTCACTCCTTCCTCCAGGTTTAATCGCGTTGAAACGTGGCAACGACGTTTGCTTTTCATTTTATTACATGTATATATATATACACGTAATGCTTGATTATTAACGATCGGGAAATTACTATGGCCGCTAATTATTCACCGTGGCAGTGTGTAACAGCTGCGAGTCGCGTTGCCTTCTATGGCTCATTCGAAGGCCATTAATCGTACCAGGTATTCTCGCGCTAATGCGAAACTAGCAAAATAATATATCGCCACCTGTACCAAATACTCGTTTCGACTATCTATCTATTAATATATCTCTCACGCTATTCAACGCGCTGTCGTCTCGCCTCAAATATTTATCTTTTAGAAATTACACCCTTTGTACATTAATCCGCTACAAGTAATGCAATAAGGGGAACGAGTACCTTCAACAACCGCGAAGAAGAAGAAGAAGAAGAAGAAGAAGATCGGGCGATTAACGATCGGTTGCGTGGAGGATTGACGCGTGTTGGGTGGAAAGCAAAGGCGGGCTATATCCGCGAGATATAGGGGAGGAGGGTAAAAGGTAAGGTAG